TAAAAAAACCATAAAAATAACAAAACGCTCGTGTATAATTTAAAATTAATAAACCTGAAAAATAGGCCAGATAACGAGCAAAAAATTTTTTTAGATGTAGAAATAATTGAACTTCATCATACTTTTATAATACAAATAAATAAGTTTCAATTATTTCTACATCTAAAAAAATTTTTTGCTCGTTATCTGGCCTATTTTTCAGGTTTATTAATTTTTCCTATTATTATTTTGTTTTTGGGGAAAAGGCCCCATCCCCGCCTTTTCCTGTGAGGCACAACCAAAAAATTTGCCCCTCCATATCTTAAGCCTTGTGTCCACGATCCGAGAATTTGGTCCGAGTTCTCGGACCGAGAAGTTTGTAACCAATCAATTTGCAGCTTTTACAGAAAAGCGGCTATTTTATTGGCTACAAACTTCTCGGACCGAATTCTTGGATCGTGGACACAAGGCTTTACCTGAAACAGAAAACAAATAAATTAGAGGTGAGAACGGCCCCTCCCCGCCGATCCCTGTGAAGCACGTCCCAAATTTGATACTGCTTCTCCAAAGTACTTAAGGGTCGACAGGCGACATGGTGGAGACGCCTATCGGCCGGCCGGGAATTACGGATTCTTATTTTCCAGATATTAGCGAAAATATTGAATGAATCTTATTAAATTTAGGATATTCTTAATCAGTAAGCTCATTTGTAGTCCTCTAAAGAGCTATTTTATGAAAAAAAGATAAAAATAAAAATTTTTAATAAACTTGGGGGAATGCACAGCTAGGAACGGGTAAGGTTGGGTTAGCCGCGAGTCCGTATTTTATTTATTATAAATTTTTAAGAGCGAAAATGTAAAATCCGGCCTTTTAGAGGACTGCTTTATTATATAAAGAATATATTAAAAAAAAATTCACGAAGTTATGTCACTTATTTTATGAAATATCTGGACGATAAGATTCTCACTAGATTCATAAGGAGCAGGGGAAATTTCTGTGGTAACATGCTGACTGCTTGACAAGGAGAGAGCATCATTCCATCTTTGTCTCTCTTACATCGCATATGTAGTAGCGTCCATGTAGGTACAAAAACTAATACGTGAGCACACGGATGCAAATATTGAGAGATAATGTCAGCAAAAAGGCTATCATATTATTTTTATTTTTTTGTATATGTATGCATATGTAAATAAAGAACAAAAATAAAAACTATTTTAAATAATAAGAATCTATTTGTGTGTGTGTGTGTGTGTGTAATTAAAAATTAATAAAAAAATTAAAAAATCAATTTATATACCATATATTTTTTTTATATCATATAAAAAAATCTTAGAAATGTACTTAAATTTTTCGTAGATCCTCGATTTTTTTCATTGCTTCTAAACATTCAGCTAAAAGAGCAGTTGAGACTATTCGAATAAAAAATATTTCATCTTATTTTTTGCAAATAATATAATATATTTTTTATTTAGGAGTCCAAAAATATATGTTACGCATAAGTTATTTATAATTTTCGTTCAAATTAAGAGAATATTGTATTGAATATATTGTAATGCATATACACATTAATTTTCATTAATTTACTTGTTTAACAAAAACATGGTTTTTTGATAATAATTTAAAATTATTTCTGCTCAGTGATTTTTAAATAGCCGCAGTATATTGACGGTGCAAAGGTAGCATAATCAATTGTTTTTTAAATGAAAACTGGAATGAAGGAATTGATTAAAGCTGTTTTAATTTGTAGATTTAAAATTTAAATTTTAAGTTAAAATTCTTAAAAGAAATTATGGGACGAGAAGACCCTATTAAATTAATATAATTTTTTTATTTAAGGAAATAAATTTTATTTTAATGATTATATTTTATTGGGAGGATAATTAAATAAAATGAACTTTAATTTAAAGATAATTTTAACATTAATTAATGAAATTTTTATAAAGGATTGATTATTAAATTAAGAAAAATTTTTTTTTTATAATAATTATAAAAATTAATTACCTTAGGGATAATAGCGTAATATTTTTAGAAAGATCATATTAATAAAAATGATTGCGACCTCGATGTTGAATTAAAATAAAAATTAAATAAAGAAGTTTAATATTTTAGTCTGTTCGACTAATAAAATTTTACATGATTTGAGTTCAGATCGGTGTAAGCCAGATCGGTTTCTATCTATAATAAAATTAAGAAAATTTTGTACAAAAGGACTTTTTTTTAAATTATATTTTTTTTAATGAATAAATTTAATTGATCAAATATATGTAAATAAATAAAATTACTTTGGCAAAATTTAAGTGTATTAAATTTAGAATTTTAATGATGTATAATAGAAAAAAGTTATACAAGTAATAATTTGTCAAAATTTAAGATTATATTTTTATAGTGCGTTAAATATATTAAGATTGTTAATTTTGTTATTAATTATATTAGTTGGGGTAGCTTTTTTAACTTTATTGGAACGAAAAATTTTAAGATATGTACAAATTCGTAAAGAACCTAATAAGGTGGGATTTATAGGATTATTTCAATCTTTTAGTGATGCTATTAAATTACTTAATAAAGAATTATTTTATGTATATAAATCTAATTATAATTTTTTTATTTATGTCCTATAATTAGATTTGTTTTAATAATAATATGATTAGTATTTCCTTACATTACTAATATTTATTTTTTAAATTATTCTATTTTATTAATAATTGTTTTTATAACTATTAGAGGGTATGTTATAATTTTTATGGGATGATCAGCTAATTCGATTTATTCAATAATAGGAGCAATACGATCAGTTTCACAAATATTATCATATGAAGTAAGATTTATTTTAATTATTTTAGTTATTATATTAATAAGAGAGAGATATTCTTTTTTTGATTTTATTAATTATCAATTTTATTTATGATATATAGTAGTTTTATATCCTTTGTTTATTATAGTGTTTATTAGGATTTTAGCTGAATTAAATCGAAGTCCTATAGATTTTATCGAAAGTGAGTCAGATGATTTAATATTGAATATTTTAGGGGTGGGTTTACATTAATTTTTTTATCTGAATATGGAATAATTATTTTTTTAGATTAATTAGAATTTATATATTTAGGAATTTATTAAAATATTCAATAATTTTAACTTTTATTTTAATTAATATTTTATGTAGAATAGTAATTTTTATACATGGAATACTTCCTCGAATACAATATGATAAATTAATATATTTATGTTGGAAAATTATTTTACCAATAATTTTGGTTTATATTTTATTAATTTTTGGATTTAAATTTATATTATTAATAATAATTTAGTAAAAAAAATTAAATGTTTAAAAGTTAATAGAAAATTAAAATTTCTTTAATATGTTTTCAAAACATAAACTTAAATTCAAGATTATTAACTTAATTTAATAGTAATTTATAAAAAATTTAAATATTAAATATAATTATTTTTAATATTTTAAATTTATTTATAATAATAAATTTTAAAATATTTATTTAAAAATAATTAAATCTCAAATTTTTATTAGGAAAGGTAATAAGATAAAATAAAGAAAGTAACATAATGATAAAATTTGTCTAATAATGATAAAAGGTTGAGCTCCTGCTCATGTTAATAGAATAAAAATATTAATGAAAATTCAAAATAAATATTGATTTAAAGGATAAAATGATAATGAATTAAATTTTATAGAAATTAGAGGTAAAAAATATAAGATAATAATTGATGATAATAATGCAATTACACCTCCTAATTTGTTAGGGATAGATCGGAGGATAGCATAAACATATAGAAAATATCATTCAGGTTGAATATGAATTAAAAATGTATTTTATAAATAAATGAAATATTATATATATATAATATATATATATAAGTGTATATATATATATATATATATATATATATATATATATATACAGATATGAAAGAACTTACGAGTAACGTATGATGGCTCAATGCAAGAATATTTAATCACGTAAAAAACTTGAGTTCAAATATATCAATATCAATTTTTTTATAATATATTAGAATATAGAAAATCATAGAAATATATTTTTTATATAGGCGATAAACTTAAAAATTTGATATTGAAAATATTTTAATCATTTTACAACTACACACACTATAAATATATAAATGCAAAATACTTCCGTAAATAAATTTCAATAAATCAATTGCACACATGCACACAGCTGGTATGTAGATTTTTATTAAATTTATTTTCTGAATTATTTTACACTTATATATATGTAGTAAAAATATTTTCAATATATTAAAAAATTTTTAAATCGCCGAAATATATTTTATCATTTTTCTATATTCCAATATATATATATATATATATATATATATTGTATTATAAAAAAATTGATATTGATATATTTGAACTCTAATTTACTGGATGATATACTGAACATCCTTGCATTGATTATATATTACTCAACGGTACGTTCTTTCACGTTATAAGTTATTGGAGCAAATTATACAATAGCATCAATAATCAAAAAGAAATCAAGAATAATCAACATATCCCTTATATAATATATATATATATATATATATATATATATATACGCACATATGTGCATAAGGATATATAAAATTTATAAAAAGTAGGTACTTATTAGCCTTGCTACGCTACTGCCTTCTGCTACGGAAGGCCAGAAAGCATTTTCAGGCGGCATCTCGCGTATACCGGCACGGTAGAGGAACAAGGAGAACACGTGATTATCGGTCCTTGTCTCTCTACGGTGCGTCCGCGTGAGCAATGCAATGGTGTATGTACGTGTACAGACATGCACCACTACATAAAACCCGAGAATTGGTTTCTCGGCGTTGGCAACACTGAAATCGGAGTTTCGCGTTGTCACCGCGCGAGGTCTCCAACATCAATTCGGAGTTTGGCCGACCGACCTGTCGACCCTTAATCTGTGGTCTGAATCATGTCTGCTTTATCTTGAAAACTAGTTTATAGTTACTGCATTGGCCACTACTACGGTATGGCGCTGAAATCAGTAAGAAATCTGTAGTAGAAGGTTCTATCAGAATGAACGAACAACGAACCACAAAGAGCAGAACATGGCGACATGGTATTGTAGTACAAATTGTTCTTAATCTCATTCTTTATGAATAAATAGAATCGAGTGGGTGCGAGGGAACTTGTATCTTGTCTCGCAGAACTATTAGGAGAGCACTTGGAACATAAAATAAAAAAAGCCGCTGAAACATGAATTACAATCACTCAAATGCACGTCGAGGTGAGGGTAACCTATGAATGACAGATGTAAACTTTTATTGGATCTATCAGTAGATTTTTATGCTTATCGATAATTTTACTTTTGTTGGAATGTGTACTTCTCGTATCGTGTAATGGTATTCTTACACAATTATACGAATATAGCAAGAAAACTATGGACTTCATTAATTTAAATATTGGATATAAAGATAATTTTATTTCTCATTACTTTATCATTATCCTTATACACATTTTATATATTAATTATGATTTGACAGGAAAGCCGAAGAGATTATTAGATCCATCGGCTGGTTTATCTGCACCAACTCCTCCAATGCCGCAGAATCCATATATGCCTGTATATAACCAACAGGTAAATTTCATGGACTGCATGTGTTGCTCATTTCACATATTGTGTATACAAAGTGGTCCTGAAATGGTCAAAATCAGGGATTGGGCTCGTCATAAGAATGAAAAAGTTCCCATAAACGTTAGTCCAAAATATATCTTTAAGGAGTTACGATTCATTTAATTACTCATTTAATTTTGAAGAATAAATACGTTTAAAGTTTTGATTGTACTTACTATAAGTTGTGCTTTTTTAATTAATGAGTTCAATGAGTAGCTCAATCGAGTAATCTGTTGTCACAATTGAAATCTATTATTATTGTTCGAACACGGAGGCAATATTTCAAAATGCATTTTGTGGACTAATGTTTATGAAAACTTTTTCATTCTTATGACGAGCACAAACGAATCCCTGATTTTGACCAACTTTCAGGACGACCCTGTATACAAGATGTCCCGCAATGTAATGTCCATACTGAAACTGTGTTATTAGTGTCATTCTAAGTTGAAAAGTCTTAATACACATATGCCCTAAAATTGATTGTTTTAAAATTATAACGACAAAATTGCATAAAATAAGAACAAACATTAATTTTTGAAGATAATATTATTTATTGAACGATAATATTAAACAATAATTAACTATTTTATAAATTGTTCAAAATGACATGATAAAGGTGTTCTTGCACGAATGTGGTAAAGTAAGGCATACATTGAATTGTTGAGAAATAAGTTATTTTCCGCAGTTCAAACAACAATCGAAAAATCGAACTTTTGTGACTGGCATTACAAAAAACAATTGCCTGCATTGTCAGTAAAAAATAAATAATAGATAAATAAGTAAATAATAATTAATAATTATAAATATAAATAAGTAAATAACTACTTTTGCATTTTTTTCACTATAACTTTAAAACAATCAACTTTAGGGCATATGTCTGTTAAGACTTTTTGACTTAGAATGACACCAAGAATACAGTTTCAGTATGGACATCACATTGCAGGACACTCTGTGTGTATATATATATTTATATATTGAACTTCCATCCTAATTTGTGGTAATTTTAATTAGGTGCCTGCAAATAATGGTGCGATGCCAGAATATGGTTTTAATGTTCCTGGAGGAGTTCAGGCGCCACCTCAGTATGGGTTTAATCCACAGATGTCCAACTATCCACTCAATGATAGTCAAGGTGGGGAATTTGCAAGCCCACAATTTGCGACGCAATTATTGGCTCAACCTGTGGTCACAAACATGGCAGTACAATATGGAAATGCATTAGTTGGTACTGGGAAACAACATCTTGAGAAATATGTGCCAGTTACAGCATTAAAATACTACTTTGCTGTAAATACAGATTATGTCTTCGCAAAGTTAATGCTGTTGTTCTTCCCATTTACACATAAGGTAAATTTTTTTATAATATTTACTGGAAGAGACAACAAATATTGTGTGCAATAGAGATGTAAATAAACAAGCCTCGTTTTTTTTTAATTTTGTTATTTTTAAAATATGTAATATTTTTATATTCTAATTACTGCAAATTAATTTTTCATTATTTTTAACTTTTTAAATGATATATTTGAATAATAGATGACAATTATTCAAAGTTTGTAATTTGCTGCAAAAGTCTCATTAATTCATTAAAATTACTTTCGAAAAAATTAATTTTAAAAAATGTATGAAATATAGAAAATAATAAAAAAGATAAAATTTTTTATCATAAAAAACATGATTTTTTAAACTTTTAGGAAAAAGAAATCGTTTTTTACATCTCTACGTGTGGAATTGAGAGAACATTGCATTTTATCTGTATTTTATTATTTTTGTCTGTTACAAAATATATTTACATAAAATTTGCATGTTTGCAAACAAAGTGTTAAAATGTCAACTAAATGTATTAAACTAACTCAATAATTCTTACAGGACTGGTCTGTAAAATACGAACAGGACGTACCATTGCAACCGCGATATGAGAAAAACGCGCCAGATATGTATATTCCTACAATGGCGTTTTTTACATATGTTGCTACAGCGGGATTAGTTTTAGGTATGCACGAACGTTTCACTCACGAGCAATTAGGTATCCTTGCTAGTTCTGCTCTAGCTTGGGGTGTGATTGAATTGCTCGTACATACCGTGAGCCTGTATGTGATGAATCTTCAAACGAGTCTAACAACGTTAGACTTGTTGGCGTATTGCGGTTATAAATATGTCGGTATTAATGCAGCCCTACTATTATCGTTGCTATTTCGAAAATTTGGTTATTACGCAATGCTATTATACTTTAGCGTTTCTCTAGCTGTCTTTCTTATGCGATCGTTAAAATTAAGAGTCATTCCGCAAGGCCACAGTTCATATACGGCCTCTGGAAATAAGAGGCGACTTTACTTTATACTGTTTCTAGCTGGTATACAACCCATTCTGATGTGGTGGCTGTCGTATCATTTAATTTAAATGGTATACATACATACCCATGTGTAAGAAATTTATTAAAACAAACATATGCAATGAGGGAGAGGAGAAAATGTGTATATTTATTATTTGATTACTAACATCATCTGTACAATTTTTGTAATAAAATTCGATATTAGTATACCACTGTGTTATTACAAAATTCTGGAGGAAAAAAGTGAGTTTGAGAGTAAGATATTTATCTAGTTTTATATATAAAATAGATTAAATACGCGTAAAATTAAAAAAATACATCGTATTATGTAACGAATTAATTAATTATAGCTTTAATTTTTCTTATTTAATGGTCATGTATAAATGTATCTAAATAGGTAGTGTAAACGTAACTTTATTGCGCATGCGTAGTTTACTCAGAGACGAGTGAAAGTAGCCAATAAAATACATTTTCTTATTGGATCAATAGAGGTTTTCGAACTATTTTAAATTAGAAATTGAAAAAATTTTTCTAAAAGATTTTTATGTATTATATATTTCTGATGTCATTCTAGTATAACGAAAAAGAGATCTGCATCATTTTTAAGTTTTTTCACAAAGTTGAAGAGGTGTAAATAATAGTCTGGAACAGAAGATCGGCTATAAGTTGTCTCAATTTGAATGATCAGAAATACAAGAAAAATATTTCATGAAAGGAAGAAAATATAATGTAGATGTTCAATCTTATACCACTGAATCTATAATTTAAAAGATAATAAAGAACAAATATCAGATTTTTGATAGATGACGTGAGAACGTTTAAGAATAAACGGACAAAATACCATTTTTTTATCGTTTTATATTTTATTCGTAAATTTGCAATAATATAGATATGTCCGCTACGTCCGCTCCTAAATTGTGGAATAATTTTTGCTGATATATTTTCCGCAATGTTAATATATAATATTATATAACATTTATAAAATATTACAGAATATTTCTCATTCTTTATTTTCTTTATTTATTCGTTCGATTTTTGAATAATCAGTTTAATATTTAAATTCCCTGTTAGGATGCCTTGTAGCAAAAAAGTTAATCTAATAAAAATAATTGATTGTAATATAGCTACTTTTTCTTTGCTTTATATATATAATTCTCGTAACTATAGTTTTTATTATAATAAAAATATATATATATTTTTTTTATATATTTGCTTACGTTATGGCTACATATGACACAATTCTTATATATTCATATTTTATTCATTTAATCTCAATTTCTAATTCCTATATTCTTATCCTAATTCGTATTTTCCCTATTCTGCGCAAGACTACTGGCGTTGATTGGCTGCGTTCGGGAATCACATTCGTTACGTCGGAGTGTCATTCTATCTTTGTTACATGCGGAAAGTTAAACAAAGATAGGATGATACTCCGACGTGTCGGAGTGTAATTTCCGAACGCAGCTATTGATGACGCGACTAACGCGGCGCGGCAGTTTGACTTAGCATTCGTAGCCATAGCGACCGCGAAATATGGCCGCTCGATTAAGAGTTTGTTGCGAATGACAGCTACGCAAGAAGATAATCAAGTACATGAAAGCTCAGGAATCTACGCATTTTGCTCTGTGAGTACAGTTCCGATTCTTTTCGCACGATTAATGATAACAAAACATCGTCAGAAAACGAAACACATTATTAATTTTCTAATGTCATCATCTTGGTTCGATTTTGTCGCGATCGCGTAATATTCCAGTGTCACTTGGAAACTGATGGCTAACATTTCATGCGTTAAATCAGGATACATATAATTTCTTATAGATCCATTTTGCAATGATTCTAATCGTGCATCTAATGCTAAATAAATTTTGTGCTACTTATTGTGAAGAAAACGGATTCACAAGAAAAGTGAATTTAAAAAATAATAGAGTAGAAAATTGTTATAAAAATACAATTTTTGTATATAATTATTTTTATTTTTCATATATATACATATATATATAAAGGGTATCCGGTAACTAACGGACCAACGATTACAAATGGATTCTTTGGTCAATTTGGGAACGATTTTTCCTCAGCGAAAATGTCGAAAAAGATCATCATGTTTTACAACTTTCCAATATTTGTCATTATGTATCTTTATAACTAAGCCTCAAATTAAAATTTTATTATAGTAAACTCTACCTGAAATTAACTGAAGAATGTAATTATGTTAGACTTTTAACTCCAAAACGTTTAGTTTTAAAAAACCTATTTTTTTCAATCGCTTATAACTCGAAAATAATTGACTTCCCAACATTTTTGCTAAGAAAAATCGTCTCCAAATTGGCCAGAGATCTGCCCTTAATCATTGGTCTGTTAGTTACCGGACACCCTGTATATATATATATATATATATATATATATATATATGTGTGTATTATAAATAATTTTAATCTTTAGAAAAGTAATAACAGTATTAAAATATTATAAAATTAATTAAATTATTTTTATAAAAATATTGTAAAATTAATTTTTACAACATTCTTTGGATCTGTTAATAAATCAAAACTTTGTTTTTTCTGTTTTTTCCCTAAAATCTATGTTTCGAATTAGGCATATTATGATATATTACAGCAATGTATATTAATTATTGTGTTTAATATTATCGCAAGTAAATCTAATTTTCTCAAGATTCTACTATGTCTAAATATGGAGATTATATATAACATTTATAATTTAAAAACTATTGTTATTACAATATTTTCGTACCGGTCGAATCGACGTCGATTTATCTATCATTTCTCGCTAGGATGAGATATAAGTTTTTTCGAAGTATCAGAATAATTAAAATTTATCAAAATTCCTTTAGTCCTTGAATTAGAATAGAAAATTATAAAACGACGGTTTTATAGTTGGTTAGCGATCAGATCGCGTAACGTCATCCAAGAAAATCTATATTCTTGCATGTCTGGCCCACACGAAGATTATTCGCATGCGACCGTAAGAAAATGCTAATCTCAGAGCGACATATACAGAGTGGTGTCCTAGATTGCGTTTACATGTCTCTTTTGCTCTATATACCTACATGTTGTAGGTGTTGTTCGTAAGTGTCGTAGAATTGGGCTATCGTGTATATATATATATAACACGTGCAAAAGTAGTGTCGAGCGAGTTTAGGGTCGTGTCGTGCGATTTTTTATAAGCAAGTTCAACATAAGGAAACAATTGTCTAAAATAATTATTCATTTATTTTCAATCTTAAAAAGCGCGTAAATTCCACGAAATTGCGTAAAAATACATTAAAAATCGTACCTAGGTTGTTTGACATATTATTGGATTAAAATTCCTTTTGACGTGAATGGTATAAAAGTTTCTCTACCATCTTGTCAACGGTGTCTTTGGAGTCTCATGGCAGAGAATGCCGGATTATCAAATATTCATTTTACCGCTATAGAGTCAATACTCCGAATAACTCGCACTAAGTATATATTCATTTATAGGCCAAGTTTACTAACTTTTATTTGACATTATAAGCCTTTATTTTATTTATGTGTGTAAAATACTCGTTCGTGTGCCTTTGAATTAAGCTCTAAATACTTTGCTTGAGGTTATAGGAGCTTACATATAAGCGTTGGAATTTTTGTAGTTTTACTACTCATTCAAATTTATACGCACAGTTTATAATTTAAATTTACATAATCCTTTTCTTGATTATAATTTAAAATAAATTGGAAAAAGAATATTCCAAAGAGAATTTAAATTGTTGCGAGAGTATAAATCCTGTCAAAAACTTTTCGTGCTTTTTGAATAGTTTTCAGATATTTCATAAATATTTTGCAAATAAATTAACATATTAATGAGTTAATTAAAGAAGACAAATAAATTAACATATTAATGAGTTAATTAAAGAAGACAAATAACAAATGAGCATATTTTATGTTATTGATTTTTTTTCTACGTTCGTAAAATTTGCATTCATATTGAGTCTCTATTTCCTATCCTAATAAAACAATGATGAATTTTATTTTAAAACATTTATATGAAATAAAATTATATAACTCAATACATATATTAATAATAATATTGATTTTAAGTTTTAAGTTTTTATTTATTTGAGACTAGAGAGCTTTTCTTCTCTTTTTAAAATTATAGTTTACAAAAGAATTTTTTCATTATTTTAAACCAGACAGGATATTTCTTATAAATTTTTGGATGCTGAAAACGATTTCCCGCCACAAAACAATTTTCATCAATACATTAGGGCTGCGATCCACTTAACGCTACAAGCATTCCTCTCTTCGCAGTATTCTTCTCTTTAAGGTGTCTCATTTTAATTGCCCACCTTGTATTTTTAACATTTTTAAATAAATTCGCATTTTCAAAAAAATGTTCCAGACAAAAGTTGCACGATCTAAAAGAGAGCAAATAAAGATAAAATTAAAAACAAAATAAATTGTAAATTGTCAGTCTAAATTAAAAACAAGGTTGTTAAGTAATTGACCAAACTGACTAAAAATAAAATTAATTTTGGAAAAATCTATAAGAAATAACATTTTGTCAGTTAAAAATAATTTTTATGTATTTAATTTTTATATATTTTAAAGATTACAAAATTATATGTTTTTATATGTTTTATTAAATTTAGGCTTCAGAAAAAGTTCTCTAAAGTCAGTTTGTTTCTAAAAGTCAGAAAAACATCTTCAGTTTTTATGATTACAGTAGATTCGAAGAACATGCGACGTTGTCATTCGACGGCGGCGTTTAAATATGTACCGATTATAATGCTGGGATCCACAACGTAAGAACACGAGTGGTATAAAAATTTTTAAACATTACGTAAGTGAAAACATGAATCGATATATAACCTTGAATCAATTGGGCGATGGAACCTTCGGTTCCGTTGTTCTCGGAGAACGCATTGATACAGGCGAGAAGGTAGCTATAAAGAGAATGAAGAGAAAATATTATTCTTGGGAGGAAGCTATGAATCTGCGGGAAGTAAAGGTACGTTTAAATTACATAGTTAATTGGAAAATCTCTTTTATTACTTTGAAAAACAAAAATCTCTATAAATATTCACATCACAAAAATGATGTGTGCAGGACAGTATGTAATATTCAATAGTGTTAATGATAAACAATAATATATTTATGTGCTGAGATATGTATACATATATACATATAATTAAAACAGTTAATTATAATATAATCTAACCACATAATTAGGAAAATAATTCTTTTATTTTTTCTTTTCGCAATCTCTTATTTTTCAATCAAATCAACAATTATTACAGATAATTTTGATCTTTTCACTTCTTTCTTTTTTATATTGTAGTCATTGAAAAAACTTAGTCATGCAAACGTGGTAAAGCTTAAAGAAGTTATACGAGAGAACGACGTGTTATATTTCGTATTTGAATACATGAAGGAAAATCTCTACCAATTAATGAAAGACAGGTATGTATATATATATATATATATATATATATATATATATATATATATATATATATAGGTATATATTAATGAAGGACAGGTATGTATATATATATATATATATATATATATATATATATATAAAAGTACTTAAATTACTGTATAGCAGTATTTTAAGTACTCGAAATAAGTGATTAATTGGTGTTACTAGTGATAAATTTCCAGGGTTGGGAAGTAACGAGTTACTTGTAACGAAGTTACAGTTACAGTTACTTTTTTTTGGTAACTATAACTTAACTTTGTTACTTTTCTCTATCTGTAACTGTAACTGTAACTTAGTTACATTTTTTTAGTAACTAGTAACTATTTTAACAGTTACTTTATAAGTTACTTTTTCAGAAACATACGCTAAAAGTATCGTTCAAGTATGATAACCGTTATATTGTTTAAATATGATCTTCATATGATTTAATCTTTTACCTACAATTCTCATATATATTTAGTGTACATAAAATAATATAACACATAATTAAGATCGACCAATCACAGTCAAGTATTTAAAAAAATTCTTAAATGTAATAATTGATCGATTTGCTTGCGACTTTGCGATTACCATTTAGTAAGTTACTAACTATTGTTATTGTTGTATATAAAGGTCATTCCCCAAGGAGAACAGAAGATCAAAATTATGTCAATTTAACATCATATTGACTAAATATTGACCAAAAAATGACATAAATTTAGTCAATATGACATCAAATTGACATCATTTTGATTTTTCTGTTCTCCTTGGGTTCATACATTGATGGTAATTGCATAGTCGCAAGCAAATCGATCAATTATTACATTAAAGAATTTTTTTAAATACTTGACTGTGATTGTGCATAAAATGTAAGCTCCTTATATTTAAAATAATGTATATTATTTTTAAAAAGTAACTGAAAAGTAACGACTCGTTACTTTTTGAGTAACTGTAACTGTAACTAGTTATTTTTTAAAATCGGTAACTTGTAACTGTAACTAGTTACTTTTTCAATGAAATAACTGTAACTGTAACTAGTTGTAGGATGTTATTTTTGGTCTCGTATTTATACTCAGAACATTTGTATCACAGGGACAAACTCTTTCCCGAACCAGTAATAAGGAATATGGTGTACCAAGTATTGCAAGGTCTTGCTTTCATGCATAAACATGGTTTCTTTCATCGCGACATGAAGCCAGAAAATTTATTATGCATGGGACCCGAATTAGTAAAGATTGCTGATTTTGGGCTAGCGAGAGAGATTCGATCGAGACCTCCGTATACGGACTACGTATCAACGAGATGGTAATAATTTCACGAGTAGTACGGTTCTATTAAAAAAAAACTATTCTAGATTGACTTTTAAATAACCTTGAAAAATGATCTTGGTTAAGATTGAAGGTTTTCAATTTTTTAATCCTTGAAATCTTTTAATTTTTGTATGAAATAATTTCTCCGAGTTTTAGCACAATATTCGGCTAATTGATTAAAATGAAACAATATATATATACACAGGTATCGAGCACCAGAAGTATTACTACACTCTACAACTTACAACAGCCCGATCGACATTTGGGCGGTCGGCTGCATAATGGCCGAGTTGTACACGTTTAGACCCTTGTTTCCCGGGAAGAGCGAGATCGATGAAATATTTAAAATATGCTCCGTAATCGGGACACCTGATAAAGAGGATTGGCCGGAGGGATACCAATTGGCCGCGGCTATGAATTTTAAATTTCCGAATTTTACGCGCACCTCCTTAGGAGTATTAATACCGAACGCTAGTCAAGAAGCAGTCATACTCATGGAAGATATGTTACAATGGAATCCTATAAAGAGACCAACAGCGCAGCAATCGCTTAGGTATGTATGTTTTACATAAAATATTGTAACTAATTAAAAGAGAGAAGATAAGCCTTTTAAAAAGAAGAATAAAAACGTAAAATAATCAATATAAACACATATTTACTTATGAAGCAGATAATGTTGTCGAAATTATGATGTCCTAAGTAGCCCAAAAGGTTTTAACTATTATTTGTTATTTATTCTTATCAATATATATAGTGACTATTGTTATATCTTCAGGTATCCATATTTTCAAGTCGGCGATCCGCGTATCATTAATAGTAAAAAAATTGGTGTCGTATCTCAACGAGAACTCGCCATGAACAAAATAAATCTTCCACCACCTGCGCCTAAACAATACAATTATTCTCAGGAAGACCTTGTTAACAACGTGGTTCAATCCAGGTAAGATACTATGACATATTTTAATCAACGAGAATTTTCATGTACATTCGATTATTGTGTAACTCTAAAATGCATATATTACAATTTAAAGAAATATTCTATACTTTGAAATTAAGAAGAAAAGATTTTGATAAACAGTTTCACATGAGTTTTTAGATATTAAAATTAAAATTTAATATTTATAGAGCACCCGAAAAAATGGTTGAATTGCAGCAGCAGATTGCTTTGCCATTATTAAATCATAATAATCACAATAGTCTCAAGCATGATAGCAACGCTTCCAAAGGCGATGAGGACGATTTTGCCGAACTTTTAGGGTAGGTTGCACGAATTTTCTAAGTAAAGGACCCCGCACATATGTAGGATTTTGACTTTCGATAGAATTACTTCGATAGTTGCCGAGTTACAACCAGTCAAACAACTCACAAAGTCTTAATTTTTCCTAATTTGACTGGCTGTAAATCAGTAAACATCTATTATATAGTAAGTATCCAATATTTAACTTTAAGGCTATTACATCTTTTGTTCAGGACATAAGCTACAACATATGAAAAAAACAACCAATTCTACCGAAAGTTAAAATCCTATATTTGATGCGGGATCCTTTATATACTATCTTTCGCAATTAACCGACTTAATCTCTCGATTATCTCATTATCAGAAGCAAAGTTGTCCCGGAGAACTCGAGCGCGATGCTCATCCCCGATCGCGTATATAAGGAAAATCGTGTGAATTGGAATGCCAATTATCAACAATCCGATAATTTGAAGCATGGCAATGCTAATTGGACTCTACCAACGTGGAACGAACCGCCGTCGAGAATGTGGAATCAATCAAACCAGTCCAATCAGATGAAAAACTCACGTAAAGTCTCGGCGAAGCAACACTACCTCAGCGTGGCTCGGTATGTCGCAGGCCAGAGCACAAATTTGCCATCCAGGTATATTATGTTCCGAAAACCGGTCGAAAGAGTCCTTATCGCGTACACAGTGTTGATAATCGGTCTCTTGGTGTGGTCGCACATCAGACAAAACACATTTCGTGGATACTCGATAAATTTACTTGAAATTGCGTCGCTTGAAGAGAACTATTCTTTAACAATACAATCTTGCGACACGATCGTTTGTAAATCGATTTATGACTATCGAGTTTTGACTATCGCTATGCAATATTTAACCAATGCGCTGACAAGAATCTCATTCCCGTTAAATGTTTTCTTAAGCTTCTCCGTGTTTGTTGGATCGGCTTGTCGAATTTTTTTGTTGGCTCTCCATATTATATTGAGACATTTTCTATATCTATCATGTCAAATTTTGTTTTATTGTGACCAATATCTAAAACGTTTCATAATGATGAATTTGCTGGACAAAACACTTTTGCTCACATTATACACAATCAACGCGTTGCGATATATCTTGACAATCATCATTCTGATCATCGAATTTTCGACATTGTGCCTGTTGCGTTCATTAAATGGCAGTAGATATATATTAGGAATAAATGGAACGATTTTTTCTAACTAAAACATATATGAGAGTAATAACAACAAACATATATTTCTCAGCTATATTGAATATTCTTGTGTAATATGCATTGTGTATAAATTCAAAATAGACAATAAATCATCCATATCGTTTTTATCACATGATTTATGTTGCGGCTTGCTTGTCTACAGTATAATGCTTTTCTTTATTATTTATTTTCAAGAAATGGAGATTCCGATATCAACCGATCGAAACTGCTATTAAATGGATTCATCGGTCAGGCAACATCCAACAAATATGAGGACTTTACAGACTCCTTTTGGGGATCTAAAAATAGTATTGAGAATCAAACAAGGCAGCATTATCTCGCACGAAACCGTTATATTGCCGAACAAAGCTTGAGATTACCTTATCCCAGCGTGTACGGTACTCAAAATATTAGTAAGTATTTTAAGTAACTTAATGCACTTCTCTTGCTTCAAGAAGTTGTGCACTTTTTCTTATTAATGTTAGTGCAAAGGTTTGCATACCTAGACCAGATAACAAATGCACGTTATCTATAATGTCAAATATCTGAGAGACAAGAAGATGCATTTACTCCTCTGGAATTAGCAAAATATTAAGCATTATCGATTTTTTTCGATAGAACCTACCAATAAGCCTACGTTTCAACCGAACTTGTTTGGAAATGTTTTCAACACGAAAGCCAGTGGCGGACCTTATGGCCGAACGGATTGGGCAGCTAAATACCTCAAATAATCATTGTAGAAAGATTTGTTTTTTCCCTCTTTCCATGTTGAGAATTTATTATAGTGGTCTTTTTTCTAAGCGAATTTTAACTGTGATAGAACGACCGTTGTCGTTCCATTGTGGTAGGACGCGGGTAAGCAAAATATATGCGTCCCCTTTCCTGTGTTGCGATTTTATTAAATGAAATCGCTTATATTAAACAGCGATGAGACAAGAGCGAAATATATAGAACCGCATCCTACACAAACACACATGTACATATATAGGTATATATATATATATATATATATTTTATCACTTATATACAGGGTGTCCGGTAATAACTGATTTATTTAAATTAATTTCTCAAAAATTATTGCAAACAAATCACAAAACTAGGTAAAGATCCTATTTGGTTTAACTCGTTCTATCTGCACACGAAAGATATGATACAGTTATTACCAGACACCTTGTTTATATACGAATGTACGCAAATATTATATTATTAGAATGAGAAACATAATATAAAATATAATAAAAAATATTATATAAACATTAAAAAATAAATAATATTAATAATATTAAAGGGTGAAGGTCAGTCATTTTTAACGGAGAGAAGAAAATTTTGATAAACACAAAAAAGGAGGGTCTATATATGTTTTACAAAAATTATTTTTTAAACAATCCGTTTTTTTTTTAATAATCTATATATTAATGCTTAAATCTTAAAGGGTTATACTTATATACATATATACCTGTGAGGTCGAAAAAAACATGTATTTTTAGGAATCTTTTTTAAACTGCAAGATTTTTTTAAATAAATGATTAATCATTTAAATGTATACATTTTGAAGATTCTATAATATTTTTTATTACAAAATATAAGAAAAACAAAAAAGATATCAGCGATCTCCTCGAGAGCATTTTTTGTAAGTATTTTGTGCTGTGACCACTGTAACTTGAGCTCGTCCATCTGAAATGAAAAATCCGAGTGAATTTAGTTAGTATACCTATTAGTTTATCTAGTGCCCGATCGTTGCTGTTTTTCGTTCCGTAGTTTTTTACAGATAAAAATGAACGATTTTTTTTATCAAAAATCGATACTTTAACTTTGAACAACTGCCATTTTGTCCCAAATTAATTTTTCGAGATAATGAACGATTGGGCAGTAGATAAACTATAATATATATACTAACTAAATTCGCTCGAATTTTTCATGTCAGACGAACGAGCTAAAAGCTACAGCGGTCACCGCAAAAAATTACAAAAAATGCTTTCGGGGAGATCGCTAATATCTCTGTTTTTTATATTTTGTAATAAAAAAATACTACAAAATATTCAAAATGTACACATTTGAATGATTAATCATTTATTTTCAAAAATCTTTCAGTTTAAAAAAAATTCCTAAAAATATATGTTTTTTCGACTCACAGCCCTTGTAGAAATTTATCACTAGTAACGCTAATTAATCACTTATTTCAAGTATTTAAAAGACTGATGTACAGTAATTTAAGTATTCGAAATGATAAATTAGCGTTACTAATGATAAATTTCTATAAAGGAGGTAGGTGTAACCCCCTCCTCCTTAAAACGTATCGCTTGTTGAATCTTTCTTACGAGTGATTTTATCAAGTTACAGAAGTAATAAAGTTTTTGAGTGGAATTTAGTATAACAATTAAATATTTAAACAACTTTATGCTCAAAAAATATATTAAAAAATAGAGAAATATTTATTTCTTTATAAGATATATTTTTCATTCTTTTTTCATAATCCTATTTAATATTTTATTAAATGGAGGAACATGGGGAAGCAATATTTATTAATTTTTACGAAGCTTCCTAACGTTTCAAAAATTAGTAGTTCTGAAGAGGTCTATTTAGGTAGTCCTGAAAAGGGCTGTTTTGGTAGTCTTAGAAAGGACATTTTAAATTAAATTTTCAAAGTGACCTCCGCCAGCCTCAATACATGCTTTCGCACGAAGAATTAAATTTTCTTGCACGCGTCGGAACATTGGTGCATCAATTGTTGGGACAGCTATTTGCATTTTAGTAATGATTTTTTCTGGTGCAGCAGACTCTTGTTCGTAAATAATTTTCTTCAGATGACCCCAAAGAAAAAATCTAACGGTGTTAGATCAGATGAACTGTTAACAATTAATATGAAAAATATTAAAACACTTTTTTTTACATTTTTCTTTCTTTCTTATTTTTCTAAAATTCTAAATGAAAAGCTTCTCGTACCGCGTGCGGGCCAATTCTAATCTAATTCTAATCTAATTGATCCATGTTATGCTATTCATCGACCACAGGAAATCGTTCATTTAAGAAATTCGTGACGTCTCGATATGCATGCGATGATGTCACATCTTGCTGAAAATACATAACTCTTCTTTGCGAAAGAGTCATGTCTTCCAGAAGATCTGGTAACTATTGTATCAAAAAATGCGCATAAATTCTTTCCTATAAAATAAACATCTTTAGTACATATCGATACGTATTACAAATGTATTAGGAGATTTTTAATATTTTTACCATCAAAATATCTGGTAGCCCTTGTAGAAATTTATCACTAGTAACGCCAATTAATCACTTATTTCGAGTACTTAAAATACTGATATACAGTAATTTAAGTACTCAAAATAAGTAATTAAGTACTCGAAATGAGTGATAAATTGGCGTTACTAGTGATAAATTTCTATAAAGTAAACGGCTATAACTTTGTCAGTGGCGTAATTTTGTCAAATTTTCTTAAAATTAAGTAAATTAAGCAATCTCGCGCATATCGACTTTATTTTCCGATTTGAAACGATTTGAACACTATTCATCGTCTCAATATGGAAATTTTGAACCGAAAGACGTATAAAAAATAAGGATAGAAAAACGTTTATCCTAACGCGGAGTCGCCGCGGCGCCGTACTAGTGGCAGTCACGCACAAGACTTAATGACGAGCGGACGTATCTTAAGGTTTCAGATTTCGATTGGTAAGTAAATTCAGTTTTGTATTCATAATTTTACATAAATTAAGTTTGAATAATGTATAGAAAATATTTCATTCCAATTTTCACATTATTTATTTAAATAAAGTGGGTGAAGAAATTATGTGTCCTTAAATTACCTCGTGTCTCTTATTTCGTCACATTGACGAAATTAAGTGAGAATGCTTACGGAGTGATTGTAAGTTTTTACATGTGTAAAAAATTTTTCGATTTTTTAAAATAATTTTTTCCAAGACGCTAATAGAGTTTACAATACTAAGATTAAATTTCGTCATAGAATTATCTTGCGTTTATTAAAGTAATTTTCAATTTTTGAGATGTCAATTTGGTATGACGAAATTAGATACATAATGGTTTTTACTCGGATAGATATAACTTCGTCAAATACATTTTATTAATAAAAGTCTAAGATAAAAACAAACAATCGTTATTTCACTCTAGCGTTCATTTATTCTATTCTTAAATACTACCAACAATTATTGTTTGTCTTCCTTATTTATGTGGAAAAGAAATAATATTGAATGACGATATTATATCCAACCTAAATGATACTTGCCCCTTATTTCGTTACTCGGAAAAAATAAATACTGAGTGTTAAATAGACTGGACTATTTCGCCATGCACTTTTTATTTTATTTTATATAACAAATAATTAAACTATTTTTATTATAATTAATTTAATCAACTCAATTGCTATATTTATTTTTCTATTTATGTATATCATTTTTATAGTTCTAAAGATGGAGAACAGATGGAAATGGCCTGATAAGGATGATATTCTAGTCTACGAAAGAGAAGAAATTATTTTAAAAATTTTGCCATTCATGCTCTTGATAGTAGAGGTATTTATTTCGTAAACATTAATTAATGATACTTAAAATGGTGATAATATAGATGTAAGAAAAAAATTCAGTCTACGAAAAAATTGTTTCAAAAATCTTACTATATTTTATTTTTATTTTATTTTTATTTTATTTTATTTTACTTTTTTAACTCTTACATATAATAATTGATTTTATATGGTTTATACTTAAATGTTGATTAATAATACTGAAACGATGGTGATAATATATAGGTATAAGAAAAACAATTTTGTTATTTGTAAGCAAATTTAAACAAGACTGATTATTAATAAAAAGTCATTATTTGTGATAAAATTAGTTTTCTCGGAATTACGTAGTGACGATTGAAAACTATACAATATTCTATGACGGAATTACATACACGCGAGTGACGAAGTTAAAAATAATACCATTTTTTCTGACGAAATTACGTACAAAATAGAGGTTCGATAAAACTATATTTTTGTTATAACTATCAATAGTTTATTAGACATTTTATACACTTTCTAGTGATCAGGTTTGTTTTACCCGATAAATAATTCCCTCCATAGAAAAAACAACCTAAATATAATATTTATTTTAAGATCATAATGCATGTACATACACCGTTAATATGACGAATAAGTTATAGCCGTTTGGAGAATAATGCATGGGAGCAATAATGTATTTATCGCCCAAAATACCTGCCCACAAGCTAGTTTAATTTCCACTTGTGTTGAAAGCCACGTGTGCGGGTTATACGTTGATTATTAATAATTTCATTATGTACTTTAATAATGATAATTATGATACTTTAATAATGTTCATTATGACCGTTAAATATACGTACGTGTAAATATAATAATTCGTCAGTCTATATAATGTACAAAAAAATTTTCGTCGACTTTATTATATGTAGGAACCATAACGGCAAAAATTGGTAATTATGAAAAAGAGGGGCTTTCTCGCACCGATTTTGTTGAAACTTCACAATTTTGTCTATTTTGATGTGAAAATATGAATCTGAAAGTTAAAATTGTCGCTCTCGATTAGGAAAAAAGTTATTAAAGTTACGTTCCAAATTAAACGTCTTCGAGGAAGATTTTACTGAAAATTTGTAATGCACGTAACGTACACTATAATTTTTTAAGTAACATTTTCCTCGAAGAGAAAGGTTTGGACGTAACCTAACAATTAAATTTACAGTTACGTGGTTAGGAAATCTGTCATATCAACATGATGTAGATACATTTGAGCATGCGCAGTGACGTAAAAGTGCGCGAAATTAGAAATGTGGTGTAAATGCGTGCAATTGAAATAGGTCACATGTGACAGCAGTCTGATATAGGTACGTCAAAGAAATCACCGCCTAATATGACAATTTTTCCATCAAATGATAAATCTTTACTTATTATATCACGTAACGTGTTCGATCCATATTATCCAGAGCATATAAAGCTTTAAAAAGAAGAAAAAGAAAAATGCGCAAACAATCATGTTATGA